CGTACCTGGCGGAAGTTATGTAAATTCATGATTAATGAAAGGTTATCTTCGGACATGAAAAGTTGCTTCCCTTATATGTGATTGTAAAAAACGTCCATAAAAACTGCAAAACATAAAATGTGAAATCGCAAATTTGCAGGTACCTCCGCATGGACCCAACAAACATTTATGCAAAATTTGGTGAAGATCCATCAAACAGAGGGCGAAGTAATAGTAAAAAACGCCCATAAAACCGTAAAACTGAAAATTTGTACGTACCCCCGCATGGACCTAATGAATCTCCATGCCAATTTGGGTGAAAATCCATCTACACCCTGCGAAGTAGTTATATCGACATACAGCATACATTACTATTATAGTTATGTAGATATATATATGGATAATTAAACACAATTACTTGGTAGAAAGTTGTCTGTAATGATGTTGCAAAAAATGTATTAAAGATTACATTTTAAATTTTGCAATCCACGACATTAGAAAACTTTTTATACCTTCGTAATCACAAGTTGGGGTCACATATGTATCGCTCAAATAAATAAACTTTTATTACTTATTATCATACCTTTTAATTAAAAGCTGATACTATTGTTTTCACCAGCAGGTATAATTAACTAAAATCTTTTTTCCACCTAACGACTTAAAAGTAAATCAATATTATAATCCAAATACATTATTATCCATTACAATAAATATGACTTAATGAACCTGTTATATTATTACATTCTATAGAAATCAAACATTTTCATGCTCTCTGGCATATTTTTAAAGAACTACTGCTTCTGATGGCACCCTATGGAACTATCATCCCTCTGATAGATTCGGTGAGAACTAGGCACCCTATGGAACTATCACCCCTCTTATAGAGAACTATCCTTTACACGCCTATGACCTCACAAGTCACACGATCCCCTTTCTCAGCGCTCCCATTTTCGATTTCCACTAATTCATGCCCCCACAGAATGAGGCGGCTCCTTTGGGTTCAGGTCAGATCCTGCTCTCCAAACTACTGTTGCCCACGTAACAAGACTATCATTTATTGAATACTTAAGTGTTTTTCTGTGTTTCAGATGAAATCTTGATTTATGGGAGATTTCATCATTTCCTTGATTAGGTTTTAAAAAATTCCAGATTTTAGATGAAATTATAAGTATACAAATTACTGGGTGTAAAATAACAAAATAGTTAAATTACGTTCACTTTTTACAAATATTTTAGCAAAGATAAACAAAAGGCTTAACTACGAGTAATCGTATTTAATTTTGAACTGATAAACTACAGGGAGGGTAGCTAGTCAACATCCATCAGCACCTTTTGTGTGAAAGAACAAGCGAATATGGCGTCACTCTTAACGAAACCACTGTATTAAAGTGCGGAACGTTTCTTTTTTTTGCAACGGGACTCGAACCACATACACTCGGATTTATAGTCTAAGCATACTACCACTAGGCCATGCTCAGCTCATTCAAGTATACAGTTAATTTTCTTTACAACAGTTTCTATCAAAAATTTCTCTGTGGAAAATACTGTTGGAAATACTCTTGGGAGATGAGTTGTTTTGGGATTACTACGACAGGTTTGATTATTTCCTAAATCGTGTTCACTCAGATTGTATGTCAAAGGCCAAATATGAAACATAACCAAAATATTAAATAAAGTCTACATTTATGTAATTTTTTTAATAATGCATATTTTAATAGAAGTTATTTACATGGATCATCAGTATTTAACCAAAAACAGTTAATTTACATCCTGGTTCTTAGAGATTGGATAATAAAGTGACGATTGTGATTTAAATGTTGGACGTTTTCTGCTTCAGTTCCACCATGTTGGAGTTCCAGATTCGGTAAAAAAAAATCACGTCTGATTTTTAAAGTGTATGACTACTCGCCGATTTCTGCGATCGTACTCCTCAAGCTGGACTAGTATAGTTGCAATAGACCTCTTTTTTTTTTGCGTAAGCTATACTAACTTTAAACCTCAAGACATGAGTGAACTTAATTTGAGAATTTATAGGTTCTAAATATACTCAAGGCGTAGAAAAAAAAAGAAGAAAATAAAGCTTTGTTTTCGGTTACCTGACCTACCCCACGTAAAAATGCTCGACCCTAATAAAAAAACGCCCTTCGATAAGTTTTATTTTCATTAAATTATTGCACCAATATGCTACCAGGATTGTGCAAAGTCATAAAAAACCGCGTCTCCGATTCGTTAGTTGATGTGTCAATGCTCTCAGACCCGAGCTTCCATTCAGGCAAAGTCAAACATTTCATCATGGCATCTAGTACATTGGCTATCGTCTTTAACAAATGCCCACAGGTTTCCCTAACAAAGACAGCATCACAGTTTACTGGAACAATCAAAAACGTGTACGTATCATACCATCCTAAATTAGATTGGAATGATTATAAGCAGACATCAACACACATTGATCTGGGCGAAGTTTCAATTGACACTAGGATAGACCAATTAATAAACACGTTCGGTATCAAAACAATTGAATTTCACTGTACGCCTAAACCAAAATGCACCACGGAAGTTGAAAGTACTAGTAGAGCGAATGATACAGTGACCAAATCCAATTAGCCAAATACTCCACCTACCTATCCTATCTCCGAGGTAATAAAAAAGAAGCACACCTCCCTACCCCATTTTTTCGGCATGTAATAAAAAAATAAAGCATTTTTTTTTACTTAAGGATAATTCAATACTTAACATACTTGAAATCGTTGTAGTTTGACACATTTGCAATTCAAAGATAAAATATTCCATATTTTTGCTAATCTCTCCTTAGCAGCATTTGGAGTAAAATATGTATTATGTAATTTACTTAATTTCGGTTCTATTTAAGCAGATTCCACAATTTTGAATTAATCACCAAAGATAAGAAGTCTCTCTAAGTTACAAAGAGGGTTTTATTTGGGAAGTCGGAACTGGTATGTACTTTTAAGGAAGCTAGAAGTGAAGATGTGCAATTTATGTAGAGTTTGTAGGTTATACTAATTAGAGGCGATAGACAAAGAGAAGTGTAGACTGTGGGAAATTGCAACAGGATTTCAAAAGGAGCTCAAACTATTACATACAAAGAATAAATCAGTTAACAATGACTTTCATGAAGTTAGAAAGAGATTACTATTAAGGCTAAAAGTAGTGGATTTAATTGTAATGAGCCTATTCTGTGATAAATTTAAGGTTATAGTTATAGGCGATTCCTTGATAAGGCATGAGAGTATAGTCCGTGGGGTAAATAGGGAGAAAAGAATTATATTATACTACCTAGGCGGCACAGGTAGAGGATATAACTGACAGAGGAAGAGATATAGTAAAGGGGGGGGGGCTAACTGAAATGTAGTTTTTGTAACATTAATCAGTTTGATTGAACTTCATTTGTAACCCTTTGCTTTCTTACATCCAGCCACTTTGGAAAGGTTAATAAATTACTTAAACTTGCAGATGATATTTAGGTCTTGCTAACTGTTAAGATAATGCTGCCCATTTACAAAAAGGTCTAGAACATTTAGCGAGTAGGCAAGTAAACGGCAGATGGGTTTTAATTATAAATGCAAACTAATGCATGTGGATAATCATAATTTGAATTACGAGTATAATTTGGATGGAAATATCATTACCAGCGTTATAAAAGAAAGATATCTTGGTATAATAGTTGATCAGTCTTTTAAGCTATCCAAGCAGTGTGCTGTTGCTTAGCGGTAAATATGATTTTATGTCGTATCTAAAGACGTTATATTTTCATTGTACAGGTCACTGGTTAGGCCACATTTTGAATATTGTGTTCAGTCTGAGGGCTCTTCATCTTACAGAAGGACATGAATTGTCGAAAGGGTTCAGAGAAGGGTTACTAGAATGATGCCTGGGATGGAGGGGTTGTCATACAAGAAATTGAAATATCTCAAATTATATTCTCTACGAAAAAAAAAAAAAAGGATTGAGGAAATCCGATTAAGGTGTTTAAGATTGTCAAAGAAATTGGTAGTGTTGATGCATCATCTTTTTCCATACTTAACAGAAGGACTAGGGGACAGTTGTATTCCCCTAACAAGGTGGTTGGTCCTTTGGAATGAGTTGCCTTCGGATGTTGTGGATGCAGCAAGTTTAAGATAAGGCTTCTAAGTACAAGAAAAATGGCCGTCTTTGTAAGATTTCTTTTTTAAATATTTATTAATAGCTTTAGTTTAGAGGATGGGACAGCCGAGATGAATCAATATGTCCCAAAACACTGTTAAACTGCTGGTATTCTTTGATAGATAGTTTAGGCAGGGTATTCATATTGAGGTGACTGTAGCCACCTATTTCAGTCAACAATAAATTGCCGTTTCTAGTAGTTTCTTCATTCTATAAACCAGTGAATTAATTTCCAAACTTTCGAATTTTGAAGAATCCAACACCTAGAGAAATATTTCGGAAGTTTTATAACCTTAAAGATTTCTTAAAAGGTACTTGCATTTATTGATCTCCAACATAATACAAAAAAAAAAAATCTTACCTGACCACAATTATGATTCTAGTTATAATTTTTTTTATCTTGTGATTAAGTTTATATTGAATGTTTAAAACAAGTTTTAATCGCTTCCCAAAATCCGTTTCGTTTCCGAAATGTTCTTTGAACTTGTACTTTGTTGTTTACAAACTATATCTAAAAATTACATTTTTCCTGATTTGTTTATAAAACTTATTTTATTCACTATCATTTATAGAAAATTAGATGTAAGGATAACAATCGTCTATTTCGCTGCATCAACTTCTAAGAAAACCCCTGGTGGCGTACACAAGAATCAACAGTATTTCTTCCTTTTAACTAAAATAATTTAATCTTTCAGTAGAAAAAGCAGAACATACAGAGATAGTGTAGTCATAGAAACAGGTGAAGATCGGATACACTTGCTCTCAGAGGCGTTGTATCTGATGGAATCAGGTTTGCGACTAAAAAGATTGAGCTTTTTAAATATTCCTTGACCTGGTAATGCGAGGCTCGCTACCTATCTACTGTTATTTGTTACCCGTTTTAGGCTAAATCAAAACTACCATAAGAACGTACACATTATAAAGGTCAATTGATTTATATAGTAAGAAAGTCGATCCTTACAAATAACACAAGTTTTTCGTTTATTTTCATTCCTGTAACAAAAGAACTGAATATGGCTGACCACACTATTACAATGTCTTTCCAAGCAATTTTAAATCAAGATATATATATATGTAAAGTTTTTAATACAAGTAAATGCCGAAGATAAGCTTAAGACGATATATAGATATATATTAGTATATTCCAACACCATACCTTTTAGACTCTATGGTACAATTAACTGTTCGGCTATGAACATGTAACAAACTTCAAGGGTTTGTGTTTAATCAGACAATTAAAGTTTCTATAAATTTACACCACAAGATAGTAGATTAAACGCATGCAACTGTTACTTTTTTTAAATCTAAAAACTAACACCTTACAGAAAAAAAAAATAAATCCAAAATACCAATACACATTTCCAGTGAAATCCCTGGCAAAGATAAAGATGGGAAAAAAAAATATTGCTACACAGTTCACAAATCTAAATGAAAGACCAGGTCTAGTCCGTTTAAGGTAACTATAATTTGAACACCATGAAACCTAAACATGTGCAGATAGAAAACAATTTCATTTATAAACAAATACTTATTAATTGATTATCATAAACAAAAACATCAGAAAGTATCGTTGGCAAGAAAAACAAAAAGCCATTCATAACTTCAATGAATGACTTTCATGCACATATTCCCAAGAAAAAAAAAAAAAGAAGGCGTGAACTTCCACGTGAGTCAATTTTTGTAGTTGAAAAAAAAAGGCAAAATAAAAGCGGTTTTTCTCATCAAATTTACTTAAGAAAAAAAGGCATTTTGTGAGCAATACTAGATACCAAACTATGATGAATTCCATTTCTAACGTACTTGGAATAAATGTACGTACATTTTTTTGCCATTAATTTAACAACAAGTTGTAACCAGGAAATACTTGGTTATTTGATGAGACATGTAAAGTTACGTACGAACTGGAATATTTAACTTGTTTACCTCAACTGCTTATTCACTTAGTTCAACATCATGAAGAGTGGTATTGAACAAATATTAGGAACTCAAGAAAAGCTCCCTTTAATAAGTTGCCATTCAACTACCACTAAGATCAACTAAATATTTCACATTTGCAGTTACTCTTTTTTTTTTTCGTTACTAGTTTTTCAGATTTCCTAACTGAAAATGAAAAAGAGCAACCTTTTGGTTACTAGTGCACACTGATGACTCGGCATTAGCATGTTCTGTAGACACCAGAATGAGGTAGTGTATAAACATATTTTAAAACATTAAGCATATCCACAGACAAGATGTGAAGTTTTATCATACAGCTCGAGTCTCGTGGCTGGCATATATTTATGATCATGTTGTCTTATATGTCAGAAAATGAGTTAAAGACAAAACTACTGAAATATACTTCTCATTAATATAGCCACATTTCTGCTATTTATATCACTCATTTCTAACTAGGGTCTCATGTTTACTAAAGGCAATAATTAATAACTTGTGCTACGTAAACCAAGACCTTTAACAAGTTTGATGAAAAACTGGTAATAAAAATACCAGTTACAGTCTGGTTATTTACAACGTCATACTTCATTATTGTTACAGCAGCATTGGGTTGGTACAACAGGTTACCATTAACAGATTTACGCTTTGTTTTATCTGAAAATTTGAGTTTGAAAAGTGAAAAGTTAGCTTTGTTTGGTTTTTTGATAGTTTTCCCTCACCAAGAACAGGAAATATTGCAGAGAACATGATGTGCAAATTTAAGAAAAATTAACCAAACTGGATTTTGCATACGGTCCACAGAAATGTAATTTATTAAACCTGAACTTAAGTATTCCCTCCCCCCTTTGGCAGTAGTACAGCTATCAACACCAAAATTAAAATAAATCAAGCTTCATTAATACACTGTGAATTAATGATTTTCAATGAAGCAGATACATTTATTATTAATATTATTTCAATATATGTATGTTGTGTTTTTTTTTTGTCATTCATAATAACACTTCTGTCAGTTTGGATATTGAAGACAACAGAAGCAGTTTTTCCCATTATGTTGCAAGCTGGGCTCGTTGGAGAAACTTGAGTGGTTGGATGGTGATTCTGACCGGAATTATATTTGGCCACATTAAGTCAGGCTAAAATGCCTGTAATAAAAACTTCGTAACAAAAAAAGTTTCTCCAACAAGTATCAAAAATAAACTTTCTACAACATTATTATAATAACAAAAAAGAAAGTTATGGTATAATAAGATTAACAACTGGTCCAATCAATGTTTGTACTAACTCAAACAATGGATATTCCCCTTTCAACATCACAATTTATCACTCTTAATTTAGTCCTTAAGTCAGTCTCGGAACTTACTCAAAATCACGAGTCCATTTCCGAGCCTGGAATACATCAAATACCAATCCTACAAAATGTATCGATAAGAATCTTGTATATCACAAGGGGCCAGCAGAAACCTAGTGCATCTGACCAATCTAAAATGTGATGAGCAACAGTATTATTTAACTGTTATTATTGAACAAGTCAATACTGGCCACTAGTGATCAACAAGAGTGTTCATCTTGACTTAGATAAACCAAACAAAGCACTTAACCAAATCCAAGTGTTTTTTGTTGTTTTTTTTTTTACAAGCAACAAGATTTGATTACCACCTTCCAAATGACTAAATTTAAAAGAAATCTTATATGCTGCTCCTCTTTGGTATTGCCTGAGGTGGTATTTGGCAGCAGTGCCATATCCAAGCCACCATCTATAGAGGCTGGCCTGGTCCAGGTGGTAGTTGAGGTGGATTTGGAATAAGCCCACGATGACCTCTATTAAACTGGCTTCGACTAACTAAGGCTCGGATTTGCCGTTGTGCAGCCTATATATACAGTGAAAAAAAAAAAAATTCAAGTCATTAAACTATATGTAAACATGTCTATTGTCTATAAATACCAAAACTTATCTGTACTAACACCAAACATCCGAAGAAGAAAAAATAAGACTGAAAGAAATGCACTTGGCTTTAATTTAAAGAAAACTCACTTGTGAGCTATAGAATTCTCCACTAATGTGGACGGGGACTTCTTCAGCCGTAGAGTTTTGGTTTTCTCCAGGAAGTTTAATAACAGCATGAGTTATTCTCTGTAGTTCTCGGACCTATAGATGACATTTAATTAGTCAAGCATAAAAAATAAAATAAATTTTCATACACCTTTTGAAGTTGTAACTCGTAAAAACAAATTATAATATTATAATTATGATACTTCTATCAAAAAATTATGATTTATATGAATTTTATGAACATATATTTTTCTCACATTGAGATCAGACACTAAAAGCAGTTGAATAAAACACATTCAAGTAAAAACCACCAGTTCTAGGGCAAATCTAATAGTCAAGGCTTAAATGAAGGGACACCCTCAGTTAGATGGAAGAAACTTAAAACTTTTGATTCCAAACCTTAAAAAGGCATTTGTGAATGCATTAAAATAAAATTACCTATTTGATCTGAATCAATGCAATAACAGAAATACTGCCAAACGAAACAATGACAAATTTTCTATATTCAAGTGTAAAATAAATAAAAAATTCTTCAATTAATCCTTCATAAAATGAAACATCTTAAACAACTTAAGAGAACTGTATTATGAAATTTCAAATTTAAGTAAAACCAAAATCAAACTTAAGTTTACAAGTTATATTTTTACCACGTTACAGCTTTCTCTCTCTCTCATTTAATATCTTTTCATTCAACAATACAAAACGGGAAGTACACTGAGTACTAGGTTTCCCTCAAATTTAGGCATTTCTACAGATTTATATTACTGCTAACCTAGTTAATGCCAAGTGTTACCTCACCGTTTGTCCACCCTTCCCTATGATACGTCCAACTTGTGAAGAAGGAACAAGAATTTCAACCTTAAGTCTTGCATCTTGGAATCCAGCAAATCCTTCAAATGTAACTTTCTTGAATATCATGAACTGAGCCTGTTTTCATACAAACAAATACTATATAAAATGGTTGTATATACACACTAGATATATGAAAATACAAATAAAATAAAGTTACCTTTTTGCTTCATATAAAACACATTAAATAAATTAAATTGTCTGTCACCAAATGAGCAATAATGATCAACTATTAAACTATGTATTAATGATATTTTAGTTGCAAGATACCAGCAGAGATTGAAATATTACATTCTTGCATTCCTGAGGAATCATCTTTTTAGTTGGTTTTCCCAGTCAGGAATGCATGGTTCATCTGTATTCCTTTAGTTATGACCAATGAAAGTGAACATATTGCATGTATTAAATAAATTAATTCATGAGGAAATGCAACTTTACACGTGAGAATGTAATATTCCTGGAGTAGAAATATTTTATTTCATTATTTCTATCATTGACTAGGATTATGTTCACTCTGTATTCATAACACACACCTTCCACTGTGATTCAGGTGTCCCGATAACAGTCACCTTTCGTTCAGTTTGCTTTTCTACAGGTTCGTCTTTGTTGGGTTGAGCTACCTGTTTGAGAAAATTTAAGTGCAATTGATTAAATACCAGTAAGCACTTGCACAAGAAGTTTGTTTTGTTGAGTATACGCTACGTGTGGGGGTGGGTGGGAGAGGACACCTTTATAATGAACATTTTAACAATAGATCACAACACTTTAACCTTAGCTTGTCATGGTAGTAACAGGATGATTAACTTAAAACTAGTCAGCTCTAGCTTACTAGCTGTTACACTATTTAAACAAAACTTCTGATGAAACTGCCAAGAAAAATATATATATATATATATATATATATACATACATACATACATACACACACATAAAAAATTTTCTGACAAACTATTAACATAAGTCACCTTCGAATCACTGGTAGTTACAGAGGTCATAATATAGACCAAGTGAAAAAAACATTACTGAGAAATACACTAACAGAAATGGATCTCAAGCAAACAAATTAATAAATACTGTGTTCCACGTATACCCTAAAACTTAAGTCTTGTTATTAGAAGATTAATGAAATTAGTTAGTTCATAAATAAAGAGTCAAATAGTTAGCCATGTCCTGAAAGCAATAAATCGATACACATTTTATTTTAATCAGTTTTTAATTATAAATAGTTACTTTATATTTTGGCCATTTATTCTGAAGTATGTAGATTTCTGTAACAATGACTAAACTTAAAATTAGTAACAAATCAAATATTTTGCAAAAGTGGAGTTATTAATATGGACTCCTTGACATAACCACAAACCATTAACATTACCAATGAGTTAACCCTTTGAATGTATATAATTAAATTTTGGATAAGTCCTCAAAAAGTGTCAATATCCACTAAAAAAAATGAATTTTAGAATTTGACTTTAGCACTTTTTCAATATCAAATCCATTAGTCCCAGTTTTGCTCAGTGATGTACACACACACACACACACACACTGTACTAAAGCGGGAAATTCAAGGATGTGCAAGTAACCCAATTGTCACACCATGCGGAAAAGTTTTTACAACACCATGGAGTAAATCTACTTGTCGCACCAAATGGCTATACTCGTGCCAGAATGAACAAGATTTCCCTGAACCAATAGATCGACGTTTCTTCTACTTCGTTTGTAAACGCCTCAGATTTCCCAGTTTTTAGCTGTATGTTCAATAAAATTTAAACATGTAGATGCACATACTTTTGTTAAATTAATACAGCTAATATTTTCAGACTTAACATTTTCTGTTTAAATAAAGCCATTTGTTTTTAACTATCTATACACCAGTTGCATACACTAAGAATGTGCTACATCAAGCTGCATAGGAAAAAAAACAAAATAAGTCACTTGTTCTTGCTTTCTTACTTACACCACTAACTGTTAATTTTAATTTATAACTCGCATGCTGACCAGCCTAAATAGTTAGTGTCTTTACTAATGTTTATACCCATGATCTACTTCTCTCTGCATTGCAATGTCCTAACAAAAGTCATTTGAACTTAAACTTCGTCTGATGTAACTTATACATCATGCAGCTGACTATCAAGTCGTAAATTTACAATATAGGGGGACATTGTACAAACTAGGAATACAGACGAGCTGTTTTTATTCTGTGAAAGAAAGAAGAGTTGTCATACAGTTTGTTTTACAGAACTTAAACCTCAAAAGCTAACTAAGACTAACACAGTTAACATCCAATACTGTTAATGTAGCAACGAACCTACCTTTATAGAGGCCCCTGAAGAGCTAATCATCTCTCGTATGCTACTGCCTCCTGTCCCTATGATGGCTCCAACAGCAGAGTTTGGGATGTAAACACACACCTGTTCTTTATTAGGTTCTAACTGTTGGGAGGGTGAACTTCCAGAATATACAACAGGTGGCACATAAGACTGCGAATTGCCATACATTTGATACGGGGGACTAGGGGGTCCTCCTCGTGGCCCTGGGCCCATTGTAGACATCATGGCCATTGGGTGAACACCAGGGAACATCAGAGCCTGAGGAGCCATTGCTGCCAAATCGTTCTCGTAGCTCTGACGGAGTTTGGCACTGATCATCTGCTCCGCCTTGCAAATGTTCTCAAATTTTCCAACTACAGTAATGATTCTTTCTATGTTGAAGCTGTTTACATCATGAATACTACTATATATATAAAAAAAATAAATAATAAAATTATACATACGAAAATAATCGCATTCCACAATTCAAAGCAAGTTACTTCCATTATCTTCATTTCTTACTTAACACGCAACAAGTCTACAAAAACACTTAACATGCATTTATCCACTTATTACTATTGAAAAGCAATGACACTATCTCAACACTATTAATCAGTATACTTATTAAAAAAATACTTACCTCGAAACAGTTACTTTTGCTTCAGTTTTTTCCATTATGCCTTTAATTGTATTTCCATTCTTGCCTATGATGCGGCCAATTAGGTTATTATGGGCTAGAATCTTCAGAGGGATCTCCCTATAAGAAATTACATCATATGCTACAATATGTTATCAGTAATAGAGTAAGCTTCTTGTATGGCATTCTTAAAAGCAAAACAGTATAATTACTTTTGTACCTCAGGTTGCTCACTTAACTTATTACAACCGCTGTTGATGTTTCAATATATTATCACTATTACACACGAGACAAAACCCTTAAATCTCATTCCCTTGCTTGATAACTGCGGAGCTTAAAAATGCAAAAATATCATGAAAATCAAAACTAGAAATCTTCTAAAAAAATATCAATTAGCATTCTTAAGCTTTATAAAGTGCATTAAAACATTTACTCAATTTCAGAAAGGTACTTACCCCTTATTGGTATTTTGAGCTTCCTGTTGCATAACTTCCAAAATCTTTTGACATGCTGTAGAACAATTTTCAGGATTTCCATAAATTGTTATCACCTAAGATATATTAGGCAAACTTAATAAAAAGCACAACCGTGTACAAGTAAAATAGAATTCCTTAAATCAGTTAATGGAAACGCTAAGCTTCAATAACAGGATAATATCAAACAAGTCAGAACATAGCATTATAACAGCAAAAAGAAAAGGTAAAAATAATATTGCATTTGTGATTTTTTTTTGCAATAGAGCAATTGTTTCATCACATCCCAAGAAAAATATCCTCTAAACAAGCTTTGTAATAATACAACTTACTGATGAATGTAAATGTTCACAAGTCACAAAAGGCAGCCATTTCATTGACCACAAATTACATAACTGCATACACTATTACATAATAAATGGGTACAAGTTAAGTCATTTTAATATGGTTAGTTTCATTATTACCATTCCCCCTATAAGGAAAGTTTACAATAACATTTTTAAACGAGTAGATATTCACTTTCAACTTTCCAAGTACAATTGAAAAGGGATTTTCTAGTTTTGTGACTACTAATAGAAGGAAGTAAACTGCATTAAATATAGGTAGAAATCATTACATATCCAGCCCCCAAAACTTTTCATATTAGTTGTTTTACATAGTTTAAGAACTAACAGCACAACTGTTTAAGGAATATTACCTTTTCAAGGGAACCAGCATTCTCTTTTCGATGAACATCAACTCTGTAAACAAAAGATTACGTAACCATTCATAGTTATGTTCTTCATTACTATCAATACAACTAAGCAAAATCTTACCAATACTCTTAATTTGAATGGAGAACTTCCTTTCCCCAAGTAATGTTATTTGATCACAAACCTTAACAAGATATGAATTCACCTCCTGTGTTAACACTGCATGTCAGTACAATTTTGATACTAAACACCAATTTGATCCAGGAAAACAAAATATTACATACCTGTGAAAAACGTAAAAAACTAGACAGTGTGGAAATCTTAGAAATAAACAGATGTCTAACAACAAATCCAGAAAAAGTTGTAAACAATCAAACCAACTTAAACTCCTCCCCACTCGTCTCTCTATGAATGTCAAGTCACTTCCGGTTTTGTTTAAACATACATAAACCCTGCTGCAAAACATTAGTCTGTACCTGATGATGCCTTTAGTGGCGAAACAATGCTATATTTTTCAATTACCATCATGCTGTATTTTTTTTTTTCTGCTATCAGTTGTTTAATAAATGAAAACTCATTACTTCAATAAAACAAGTTAACAAGTTTGGTTTCATCTTATCTAAACAGAAATTTTGATCATGCGTCTAATTTAATTTTTTTTTTAAATTCTTAGAGATATTTTGCAGCTTCATATACCAGGTTATTTGCAAGTCCTTATCACAATGAATGTTTATTTCAAGATAATTTACATGAAACCAAAATACATTTCTAAAGTTTCCTTCAGAATGACCTCATGACTTGTGCTAATTGTTTCCCACTTAACCTAACTTATAGGGTTTCATCCTATAAATGACAAAGGAAAATGAGTTAATAATACATAAAAAGATTTTAAACAAGTTAGGCAATATTATCCGTCTCATCCACTTCCTAAAATGGAACTAGTTTCATAGTGGAAGAAGCATCCTTACCTTGCCCTAGACTGTTGAGTAATTTGCCGTATGGTACCTCCTGAACGACCTATAATGGCCCCAACCATGTCACTTAGAACAAGGATCCTAAAAAATTTGACAAAATTTTAGTTGCTTTAATTACAAATAGAAATGCCAAACATAACTGAACTAACAAATTATCCCACACCAGTGTCAGCAGTAAGAATAGTTATTTCAGTGCATCAAATGAGTTTCAGAAGTATTCAATGTAATATTTGGGTCACTTATTATCATCTTTTCTTCTGAATGCTTTGAACAATTCATGCTTACTTAACTATAACTTAAAATATTAATATCAACAACAACTAAATGTGCATGGGATAGGTCCAATGGTGACCTCATTGAAAAAGGAATGTTGAATATAATTTAGAATTTATTTCATGTATTTTCACAAAACGTGGCAAGCTTTTACTAAAATAAAAAAAAACAGATTTGTTACACATATCTGTACTCAAAATGTGTGAATTGACAGTCTCATTCAGACTGATAAGTTGTAGTGCAAGGTGATGTTCAGGTGAGAAAAATAAGTTTTGTTCATTGTACAGCTTACATAAACTAAAGATTTCGTACAACTAATGAAGGTGGATTATGTTAAAATTATAAATCATTAAATCTAAAACTATAAAATTAATGTTTAACAACAAGGAAAATATAGTTAGTACACTAGTAAAATGAACAGTTACAACACCGTGCAACCCTTTGTGTTTAAGTAATTTATACAACTCGATCAACATAACCTTTCTACACATATTATGTACGTGATCATTAGGCACAAAAACTCAATATGTTTGCATACTGTACAAACTTCAAAATTATTATGGCTAATAATACGAGAATTAGCTTTTTTTTATTATTATTATTATTATTATTATTATTACTACATGCAATTAGTATCCAAGACTGACAAGGTAAAGGGTCAACAATCACATAAACTGGAGAAGATGAAAATATAAATTAATAATGGCTGGAGACGGCTTGAATGGGTAATGAAGAAAAACTTTAATATAAGT